AAGTAACACAAATCTTAATGTCAGCCTGATTGTTAGTACAGCTCACCCCCTTTACTCGCAATGAAACTACAGGAGTCATCGACAATTTAAATAGAATCACGCCCGGAGAGTGTCGAGAACACTCCATCATGTGGGTCATGACCCCTGAATCAATAATCCACGGGCTAGAAGAAGCAAAATCAGCCAGTGCCATAGAGATGTTACCTTGACAGACATGAGAGAGTGACGGGCCAGTGAACTAACTAGATCCATGTAGCTTAACATCTGTTCCATCTAATTCTTAGTAGTGTCTGGTGAGTTAGGAATGGTCTGAGTAGGGGGGGTCAACTGAATTGTACTGGATTCCAAGGTTGTGACGAGGCTTTTCGCTGCAGAAGATTTGGTTGAAAACTTATTTATCGGTTTCACATGGAGCTTCCAGTACTTGTCCCTTATATGGTAGGGTTTGTGGCAAAAGTTGCATGTGGAGTGATTGACTAGCGACTGCGTGTTAGAGTGTGGAGTGTTGTTGAGTTTGACGGCTCGGCTGAAGTAGTTGAGTTGCCGAACATGACATGTCTCCATCTTTTTTTTGCGATGGATCTCTGTAAAAGCTGCCCGGGTTGAAGGATGAGGGTCACGACCCAATATACTGCTGCAAACTTCATCAAGGTCTTTATTCAGACCCGCTAGAATTGGGACACATGATCCTTTTCCAAGATTTTTTGGAAGAGGGAAATATCTGCAAGAGAGTCCCAAGTGTAGCATAATATAGATCACATTCCATCCAGAAAGCAACCAAGTCGTTGTAGTTCTGAGTCACCGTCTTTGATCCCCGTTTAGCCTCACAGATCTTATTCGAAACTTCAAAGTTGTCCATAATTATCTATGTCCAAGTAGGTATCACGAACGACCATCCAGAGGGCACTTGCAGACAGAAGAAACAGTTAAGAACGGCTAATATAAGTCTCAATGCTATTAATCAGCCATGACATAACTATAGAGTTTTCCACATACCACATATCATATGCAGGGTTAGTCTTCGGAGGTTAATGAAGATTGTCGGATGTATCTTGATCTTTGACGAACAACAATTTGAGACCTTTAGAGGAAATTAGAGCCATTGAGTTTATGAGTGGTAATCAGAAAATTCACGTGATTTTCAGGCCCTCCGGTCTGCGAAGGGATTGAGGTAGATTTCGATCTTCCGATGGATTCAAGAACCGTGTCAGACGGAGGCTCGATGGTGGAGGAATCAACCATGTCTCCTATGGAGTCAAAAGAGAGGTTTGGATGCCGAGACATGGCTACCAACAAACAAGGTCTGCAGAGAAGGATTTCTAACTAGCACTAGGGATATCCAATCAGGCAGAATGAAGTTTTGGCTGCTGGAAAGAAGTCTGACTGTCCTTGGGAGGAGGTCCGACGGCTAGAGGTAAGGGACCTGGCTCAGGAAGGCTTGTAGGGAAGAAAACTGGCTGCTGGAAGAGAATTTGGCTGTTGCTTTAGGGAAGGTTCAACCGGGGGTCCAGCTGCAAGAAAGGAGTCTGGCTGCTAAAGAAGGGAAGGACCGACAGCTATAGGTCAATAGGGAAAAATTCGGACCGCTGGAGAAGAATCCAGGCGGCTAGGGTTAGATCCCGTGTCCGATACCATGCAAGTTTTGGGAATTGAGTGAGATAATTTGATTGATATGTAAAGGGGTATAAATACAAGTTACATGAATTATAAAATAGAGAAGGCTTAACATTCATATCACTAGGAATCAATTCATTTCCTAATAACCATCCGAAGATAAAAGGAAAGACATAAAACTCATATCATTACGAATCAATTCCTTTTCTAATAACTATCCGGAGATAAAAGGAAAGACAACACTTATATCACTAGGAATCAATTCCTTTTCTAATAACCATCCGGAAATAAAAGGAACGACATATAGTAGGAAATACAAAAAAAAGGAAATAACTAGAAAGGGAATAAATCAATATTAATAACTTCTAACATAAAACATGGAGTAGCATTGTTAAGAATTTTAAAGAATTCAATTATTGAAGTGGCATGCAGTAAAAATAACACCCCCTAACATGGATGTGGAACTTGAAGCTGCTAGTAATATCAAGAAGATGTGGTTCTTTATCTTCAAATATCCTATTTTGTTGTGATATATATGGAATGTATACCACTATTCTTGAAACTAAAAGAAAGAAAAGAAGATTGCATAAATTCAAGAGTTTTATTTATTGAAGAGGTTTGATTTGAATAAAAAATTGATTTCTTATGGAATAGTTTGAATATAAATAAGGCATCACATCCACATATTAATCTTAAGTGATTTTGGTATGGTTATTAATGAAGTGAAAAAGCAAAAACGAAGATCAGTAGTAAATGAATTTTGTTCCATATCTTAGAGTGAATCGATTCAAACGGGGCATGGCTACTGTAAGTGTAAGACAAGGAAAATGGGACTTGAGAATATCTGCCGGCTTATTTGCATCACATTCAAATTTTCCATTACAAGATGATGCATGAGTGAAATTCCAAAGCTATTGAGGAGGAATGCCCATACGATGAATTTTATTGTTTAGTTGTAGGTCATGCTTAGATAATGTATAAATTAAAAGTTGACATGAAATTGTGAAAGATAGAAAAAATATTATTCCACATTGAAGATAGTACTATTTTTGATATCGGAGAAAGGGTACCATCAGCAATAATAATTAATGGAAGACAAGACATTTAATATTACTGGTTTATGTCATATGAGAGAAGGCTTGGAATCTAGTACCCAAAATACATTAGTAGAGATTGCTTCAATAGATCCAAGGAAGTGATCACATGATATTTTGAGTCACTTTTGTTCTGTTTGTTGGAGTAATTGATGATAATATTTCTAAGAAAAAGTAATAGATCAAGGATTCATGATACCAGTTGTAGTTAAAAGTGTTACTTGATGTGGTCATGTGCTGAGTGGCGAAGCTTCCATTATTGTTTGGGTGGATAACTGGTATAATTGTACTGAACACAAGTTAGGAAGGTATTATAACCAACACCACTTTTTCCAACAGTATGATCACTATAATAATCCCCCCTAAGTAAATGGCTATGTTTGATTAGTTACGAGTAAGTAATTAAGGGGAATTGCGTTTGGTTATGTCAAGGAAGAGTAGTTACGATGTAAGGAATAATGAAGTTAGCCATCAATTGTAATTGTATATCCTGTAGGGAAGGACGGGAGTAAAAGAGAAGTTTGGCCTCGAGGAATTCTTTCTTCATTTTACATTTGCTAAACGGTTTGATTAGTAGTAAATGGATGACACGAAAGCTACTTATCCCAATTTTTGAACAAGTTTCTATAATATTCTTGGATTTACTTGCGCTTTATTGAAGACAAATATATCATAATGGAGAGTGTAATTGGGTTTACACTCTTTTATTATTGTTTTTAAACATTTTCTTAAGTGTTAAATCGTAATTATTGTTTAATGGAAAGCTCGTGGCTATTAAGAAACTGGATGAGAAAACATGCCATTTTGATATGTTGATATTGTCAAAACTGGCTGGAAGAGAAACATCAAGGTGATAGCATCATATGAATCAACATCATATGAATCAACAAAAAGCTAATGACTTTCAACTATAGAAGATAATTCATATCATTGAAGCTGATCATGATAGCAATAGTGGATGAGGGCTTGAACTCATTTAGAGAAGAGCGAGACACCATGACACTATTGAAGATGAGAGATATCTTCAAACCATAAAATTGTTGGGAGTCATGTGGTTTTTAAGAGCCTGGTTGAGCGATAGTGAATGCAACATCATGAAGGATAGTATAAGCGAGACTAGATAGCAAGCATAAGGTGCATGCAAGTGAGTGCATTGCAGCTAACCATATAGTAGTTCTGTGAGAGGTGCAGCAAGCTAGTGAGGTTGGATGTGGAAGCTATTGGTGAATGTTTTTGTGTGACGAGCCAGCTTGTAGTAGGTGATGCTGCAAATATAGTAAGTGTAGCAACGTGTGCATACTGGTATGGTGGTTTGCATAGTAGTGAGAATGGTCAAATCACATGTGAGGGCACATAGAGTTGTTGGAGCAACAATGCTGAATAAGAAAATGTGACTAGGGAGGAGGGAGGGAGAGTGATGACATTTTGCTCTAATACCATGTTTGAAGGGAGAATATTCTCTTATGTTATTGATGAAAAGTTGGTGCCTATACAGAAATATTCAAGATGAGTTTAAAAAGGAAACATATAATGAGATGAATATCTAATTAAGAGGATGCAAAAATGATGAAAATATATCCCCTAGTTTTATGAAAGTTGGCAGACACCTAACTCTAATACCGTGTTAAAAGGGAGAAAATCCGTATATGTTATTGATTGAAAGTTGGTGGCTTTGTAGAGACATACAAAAATAGGGTGAATTCCTCAATTAAGAGAATATAATACATGATAAAAAAAATTATTACCTAATTACTTTTCTCCAAACATAAGACCTTTTAATCTTGTTATTTTCCAACATTAACTGCGAATTTGTTAAGGGTCTTACGATGCAAGTATAATTCACTTCAGCATTGCTTCAAAATTGGGTGTCTACTGTTTTTGGCTGGTTTTATAATATTATTTTATATATTATCATGTTTTTTAAACTTCAAAATTTTATTTTTTTCGAATAATGACCCTTTATTCTGAAATGCTTAATTGCACTACCAATTCTCTCCCTTTAAACTTTATGTCAATTTAAGCCTTTCATTGATTCTTTATGTCACCTAATATGAAACTTTATTTTTCTTTCTTAAAATTACCATGGAATCTTATTTACAGTTATATATGGAGCTTGCTATAAGTTCATTTGTTCTTTTTTTACGCACTCCCCTTTTCTTGTTCTTTTTTATTTGTACACGTCCATCTTTTCACTCTTGTTTCATCAATGTTGTAACGCCATTTCTTTACCTGTCTTTTTCTATTGTTTTTTTGGAGTTATATGGATTTCATTGTTTGATACAATTTCAACAGAAACCTAACTTGGAGGCTCTGTTCTCTGAGTTTTTGAAACCGCTAAATGAATTGATTGTAAAAGCAAATGCAATGACAGAAGGCAGGCGATCTGATTTTTTTAACCATTTAAAGGCAACGGCTGACAGTCTATCTTCTTTGACATGGATTGCTTATTTAGGGAAGGATTATGGTGAGTAAATCTTTGTTGGTTTCCTTTATTTATCTGCGGGGTTTGCATTAATGGAAAACCTATTCATATATAAAAATCAGAAATTTTGATCCTTTTTCAACTCACTTCTTTCTTTGAGGCACGAGTCTTCCAACTACCCACGTTGAAGAAAGTTGGCAGATGGCTGAATTCTATAACAACAAGGTATGATCTCGATCATGCTAACCAAACAAAAAGATAAAAGAAAATACTTGAATGAACCACCATTAACTTAAAAAATAAAGAATTTTGTGGGTTATTGATTTATTTATTGGTTATAAAAAGAAATTACTTTAATATTATCAGAACGTTTCCCCTTTTTTTGTTTTTTTTTTAATATGCCTTTTTGTAGCTGTTTGTTGCTTTCTAGCCCCTTCATGTGGCTAACTAGTTTTATCTTCTTTGCCATTGAAGTTTAGCATGCTTTCTGTAGTTTTTCATTATTCAAAATGTAATTAAAAGCTCTAAATTTTCACTATCATCTACAGTGAGATCTCTACACATTGTTCAATTATTTTGATTAATGTTTTATTCTATTTCAGATGCATTATTGTTACCCTCATATCATTTTGTTCCCAATTTTGCGTCGAAGTAGTTTTTTATTTATTCTGGTGATTTATTTATTTATATATTCTAATTGTGATATTATTGTTGTTTGTTTTAATTCAGAGGTAAAAGAGTTTTTGTTAATTTAATGGATAAGATTGTCTTTATTTCATTTCTTAGGTCCTTGTAGCATACAGAAATAAGGACTCTGATCATGTCGAATGGGCAAAAGCTTTGAAGGAACTTTATGTACCTGGTTTGCGAGATTATGTTAAAAGCTTTTATCCTTTGGGTCTTGTTTGGGGACGTCCTGTGAGTGCTCTTACTTCAGCACCAAGCTCTCCTTTGCCGGTGGCTAAGGTCCCACCAGGGAAGAATCCAGCAGCGCCACCTCCTCCAGCCACTCCTCTTTTCGTCTCTGAGACTGTAGCACAACGGCCTAAACTAGGGATGTCTGCTGTGTTTGAAGAGATAAAGTCAAGTAAAACTGTGACATCAGGTATTCATACCCGCCTACCAAAATCATAGTTTAACCTCTTTAAAGACCTAAAAATGGTCCTTTTTTAGTTTATGTGATTGTATTTGAACTTCTGCTTCATAGGTCTGCGGAAGGTTACAGATGATATGAAGACTAAAAACCAAGCAGATAGAACTTCTGTTGTAAGCTCTACTGAGAAAGAAATACGTGCCAGTTCTCCATCAATTTCTAAGACGGGGCCTCCCACATTTGAGCTGCAAATGGGTCGCAAGTATGAATGTTTTAGCTACCTCTGCTTTTATTTCTTAAATGCAGTGTAAAATATGATATTTCCAGTTGACTTATTCTTTTCATTTGATCTAATTTCATGTTGAGTGTGCTTGAACAGTGCATATTTTTCTGTTAGTAACCCAGAGGTATTATGTGTCAGGTGGGCTGTTGAAAATCAGATTGGAAAGAAAAACTTGGTTATTGATAAATGTGATGCGAAACAATCCGTCTATGTATATGGTTGCCAGGATTCTGTGCTGCAAGTCAAAGGTATTGAATTCATCATTTGCTGAAAAAAAAAATGTTAACATGTAAAATTTTCCAAGAAATATTGTGGAACTCTCTTGTAATTTTGTGCAGATATTCAAACTTAATGGTGTTGCATTTCTGTAACATGCAGGGAAAGTAAACAACATAACTATAGACAAATGTAATAAGATGGGTGTCTTATTTAAGGTGAGTACGGATATATGGCGTCCTGTATTATATCTGTTGCGGTTCACTCACAATATTAACAACTCTTCTCACAAATGACTTAGGATGTGTTAGCTGCTTGTGAAATCGTGAACTGTAATGGCGTAGAGGTGCAGTGTGAGGTATCCAATTATTGCTTCTCTTTATTTTGAAAGCATTGGCAAATTTCTGAAGCTGAACCATAATGATTCAAACATTTGTACAAGTAAAGAGGAAATGAATGTAATTAATCCTCTTTTTGCTTGATATAATTTTGTCACACTTTGATTTGCTTTTGCTATTAAGTCTTGATAATCATTATCTATATCATCATCAACATCATTAGTATGATCTTGACTTTTATCCTTATATGTTGTGTTAGAAAGGTGAAAAACTTGAATTAAGCAAATTTTTTTTAGCACTGGCTATTATGCGCATTGATTCAAGCTTTTTCATTTTTCATGATAGTGTTGTTTTGACTGCATTCTCAAGGTGAGCTTAGCACTTTGGAGACTCCCCTTAATGTATGTTGTCTGTATTTTGTTTGAGTGGCCATCACCACTTACGTATTTTACCTTTTGTGGTGATGGTAGGTGTTGACCTCGTTTTTAGTGAGGTCTTAGTTTCCTACTCCCAGAACACATAATCTAGCCTTAGCAGTTCCTTGTTGATCATCTTAGTGGACTAGTAATGGAGCCCACCTCTCGTAGAACTTCAAACCGCTTCTTGACTCATTTTTGTGAAGAACTCGCATGAGTGATTCCAAGCACTCAACTTCTAGTTGCAAGGGCTAAGGACCAACATGTACAAGACTCGAAAATAAGTTCCTACAGGATCGTACGACCTTAGGTGAACCCTCGGTGACTCAGCAACGCACTCGCTACACCACACACGAATTTGACACGTTTTTGACACGTTTTGGCCCGACCGTCGGCGAACTCGCCCGGATGACTCTGGATGACGAAATGGACCACACAGATGCGTCTGGGATGTCAACTTTAGCTAGGGATGACAACCGTATTGCCGGGGTTACGTGCGCACATAGATTGCACGGAAATCGATGCATTTTTTTTTAGCGGGATGCGGGCCTAGACTCAACTCAGGTTTAACTCGGATTTGATTCAGGCTGGACTCGAGCCTGAACAAGAGTTAAGCAATTTGAATTTCGAATTTCAAATTTCAAATGAAATATTTAATCCAGCTTTAATGAAATTTAATAAGGAGATGTGTTATGCCAAATAAACTCCTCTGTTAAAGGAAACAAATTAATTCCCCGCCAAAGCTTTCACATAACGGCTCCCCCTCGAATCTTCGGCTGAATATAGTAATTGGCCTTCGGAGAGGATTCCTGAAGGGATCATCCTCCGCTCTGCTCGATCTCGTCTCCCGCACCGAAGCTGCAGACCCCATCCTCTACTCTGTTCAATCCCATCTCCCGCACCGAAGTCGCAACTCTGCTCAATCCCGTCTCCCGCCCGCACCGAAGCCGCAGACCCCATCCTCCGCTCTGCTCGATCCCGTCTCCCGCACCGAAGTCGCAGCTCTGCTCGATCCCGCCTCCCGCCCGAAGCCCACGCTTCTTCTGCGGACGTGGAAGCCCTCGCTCCTATCTGCGAAGACCGAAACCCTTGCTCGCGTCTCTCAGCCTCTGCTTCCGATTTTGCCTTAAATCATTGCCGTCCCAACTGAATTTTCAGCAAATCACGATCGTCGTTAGCAAGGGGCAGTGACCAAATCTTAACAAACACAGAACCAAAGTGCCCTTTTATTTCCTCTTGATCGAAAAAGCTCTCCTAAAGGTATATCTTCTCCCAAAACAAATCTCTGTATGATTTTCTTTTACTTATGAAAGTATGCTAGTGTTTGATACTTCTAAAATAAAACAAAATGTGTATGCAAGAGTTGCTTGTATGAAATATGATAAATTCCACTTGATTTTTGCTATTTTATTTGGATATTTGTGTGGCATGGGTCTTGAGAGATTCATTTGGACATTCATGCAAAATTTTCTTGACGAATTCCTCTGTCCAAGCTGATGTATTGTAAACCGTAACAAATTGTATATGGGTTTGCCAATGGTAATTGGAATTTCACATTCATGCATTTGCCTTGTAGTTGCTTGCCATAAATGCTTGTAATAAAAGTGATGAATCTCTTTGGTTATATATATTTAGAATGGTAGATTATTGCAAGATTACATGAATTGTGGTGTTGATACTGTGTTTCCACTTGCATACATATGTATCATCCAATTCTCATGAATTTACATGTCTTGCACTTGAACTTTACTTTTGCATTTATACAGCACAATATTTCAACTGTTTTGGAGTCATCGCGAGCGTCGATTTGGGGCTTAACATATGCCTTTTGGAGTTGTTTTTTGTGCTGTCTTTGAGCTTCTAAAATGTAGTTTGAGGCTTTTAAAAGGGGTTGATTTGAGAGCTGTTTTGAAAGCGTTGTCTTGAGTTTATATGGGTGTTGTTTGAAGATTTTAGAAGTGTTGATTTGGAGTGTTTGAGTGCTATTTGAGTGCTGAAATTGTAGTTTGGGCTGTTGTAGGTAGCTTACAAGCGCTGCGAACTACTGATTGGATGTATTAAAAATGCTATGAAAGCTTTTGGAGTGTTGTGAGAGCTATTGGGTATTATTTGGAACATAGTTAAATGTTGTTTGGGGCATTTTGTGGGCTAATTTTGGCATGGTTTTGACACCGTTTGGACACCATTTTAGCACTGTTTCAGGACTGATTTTTAGAGTTTTGCCCACTGTTTTGGGGTTGATTTTGATAGTTCTATTTACTGTTTTGGGGCTGGAGGTGGAGAGCTTTATTTACTGTTTTGAGGCTGGATTTATAGAACTTTGTCTATTGTCTTGGGGCTGAATTTGGGAGCTTTATTTACTGTTTTATGTTTCACTTGATTATCATTTAAACGCTTTTAGACCGACCCACCTATTTTTTTTTTCTTCCCTCTTCGGCTTTACTAGTTTTGGAAGTGAGTCAGCCTCCTCCTTTTGTTTTATTTATTTTTACATGGTTAAGTCATAAAGATGGGAATTTATGATTTAATTAATTGGATATTATAGAAAAGCTTAAATCACCTTAAGCATAAGTTAAAGAAAAGAGTATGCTTCGTAGAGTTGTAGGAGCACACCCTAGGTGAGAGTCCATCCACCTAATCCTCAGTGTAGACCTCCTAAACTTTAGGTGCACACCCTAGGTGAGAGCTCATCCACCTAGTCCTCGGTGTAGGCTTCCTAGAGCTTAGGCACACACCCTAGGTGAGAGTCCATTCACCTAGCCCTCAATACAATGTAGGCTTCCTAGATTTTAGGTGTATACCATAGGTGAGAGTCCATCTACCTAGTCCTCAGTTTAGGCTTCCTACACTTTAGGAGCACACCCTAGGTGAGAGCCCATCCACCTAATCCTCAGTGTAGGTTTCCTAGACTTTAGGAGTACACCCTAGGTGAGAGCCCATCTACCTAATCTTTGCAGTGTAACCTCCCAAGATTTTAGGAGCATACCCTAGGTAAGAGTCTATTCACATAATCCTCGAATGCACAGTGAAACTAGACACTTGACCCTAATTCACAAACTGACTAAGACATTAGACATGATACACCAAGCGTGACCCATGCTTCCTTAATTAAATCAATAGTGAAATACTCTCAATGACTTAACTTATAATGAAACCCAGTGCACCGGGATTTGAGCTTTGATATTAACTCAAGTTCTTCTAACAATTGGAGAAATTTGTTAATGCCATATATGGATCATCCGATTAGGATAAGTCTAGGGTCTAAGTGGAGAGGGCGATGACGATATTGCTTATGTGTGCTTAAACGAGGGATGTGAAGTGAGATTATTAGAATAATATCTCCTACTTCAAGGATCTTCTATAAAAGAGAGGAAATGATCGATGATGCTATTCGCCGACCCTTGGTGGGTTTGTTGCCCTCG